ATACCCTCGAGGCCACAGGAACTCCAACTGTGCGTGCAGACTGTCAGGCCATCAGCGGTTGCATGTTCGTGTTGCTCGAGAAATGACCTACTTTTCCTATTTTGTAATGCTCTTTACCTCAGCTTTACTTCTATTATGGCTTCATAAGCAAATTAAGAAATACAGGAACTCTTTAGTGAAAGATATAAACAGAAAATATGTCTTRATAACTGGATGTGGTGCGGGGTTTGGTCTTCAGGCTGCAGAACGTCTGGACAAGCTTGGATTCCGAGTTTTTGCCACCTGCAGGACKAAATCGGGKGAAGAAAACGTACGACAAAGGTGCAGCGACCGAGTGAAGACGTTTACAATGGATGTGACATCTTCTGAAGATTTAGTTAGAACATACAATGAAATAAAGAAAGAAATATCAGCTGGTGAAGGTACTGAGATTTGATGTCGTGTTATGATAAGATTATGTATATTTAAGGTTGACTTTCATTCACAATTCCTTGATTTTTAGATTGAGTTTATAAGTTTAAGTCATTAAGGAAGAATTGAAGTTGTCTTTATAGTTAGTTTGAAGTACGAACTAGCGTTTAAAGTGTCAGGAAATGTTAGTGAATTCTTCGACTTCAGCTGTTTTTTTTATGTTTACCTTTGGTCCACCAATCCGACACCAATGAAAAAAGGAATAGCTTAAAAACATCCTGTATGTCTAACTGGGTAAAATCCGGCAAACTGATAGTACCTGCCATTAAGATTTATATAGATTTGGTTGAAATTCGCTAAAAGATTCCTCCTTTCGTCATAATTAGATTATTGCATGACAGTGTTGTCACGCATTTACTTGTAACGTGGYCGATTTCTGTCACGCTACATAATAGATTGAATAGATTGCACGTTTCAGGGCTATGGGGCTTGATCAACAATGCYGGTGTRCTTCAAGTTGGKCCCATTGATTGGCAGCCACTAGACTGCTTTAARCACACAGTGAATGTYAATCTTTGGGGAACAGTTGCAACAACAAAGACTTTTTTGCCATTGATTAAACAGGCTAGAGGACGTGTGGTGAATATGGGCAGTACTCTATGTAAGTTATGAAATTATATAGAATAATATGTCAAGCTGTGATGTTGTTATTGTTTCATGGGTAGCGAATGGTTTCTTCAAAAAGTCTTTGTCCAAAATATGATATGATCTTCTCAGATTTTTGTTGATCAATTCAGTCTCATTCTTGAATTTTGAAAATGTGAGACTTGCTCTCTATGTCGCCTAGGAAGAACCATTCGTCACCTCTTGTTTCGCTGTTTGTTGTAGTAGTAGACTGTATCATACAGGGACAGTGGAAGCACGACCATGTTTGGGAGGAACTGGTCCTGTCATAGTCTCCTTCACAGCCTTCCCTTTTGTTGGGCTTCCTGTCCCTTTAAAAAGACGGGAGGCTGTGAGACTAGTTCATTTAAGAAGAAAAATTCAATATTATGAAAATTTCTATTTGGTGCAAAAAGGGTCAGCATTTTGTAAACTGTATTGGCGCTGAGTTGTTGTAATGTCAATGTGCCTTACTTTGAATTTCGACCAATCTCTGCTGCCTGTGATGTTTATAAATTTTTGGGAAGCTCTAAATGTAGCGTAGTGTTCTGTGYGGCTTGTATATACTACACTTACCACAAGCCAACCAAACTTTCATTTTTCTTTGTGCATAATTGAAGTGAACAGTGAAAAAGTAGACTTTTGAGTCTAGCAGGTAAACAATAATTTTAAAATGCCGTTTTATACGTCCTATCTTAGAAGTTTATTTGAAATTTGATTTTTTTTTTCTAGGCAGAATAGCCATGCCTTATATGGCATCATATACTATCTCTAAATATGGACTAGAAGCGTTTACTGAATCGCTAAGGCGGGAAATGACTCCGTGGAATATCCAAGTGATTAGTATTGAATCAGGWGGGCATAAGACCAAGCTTATTGATGGTAAACGGCTTGCACAACAATGGRCTGGTATGTGGGATGAATTGGATGAAGATATCAAAAAAGACTACAATGAAGATCGTGCACTTGAAGGTATATMCTTTTCATTAATAAACGCAYGAATAATCAACTTYTTTATTYATTAAARAAAAACGAAAATTTATGCAGGGAATTTAAAGGAAAATATTCATTTTCTTTTTGACCGTTTAGGGAAATAGTGCCTATAAGCCAAAGTTACGTTTGGAGATTTTTACTGGATGAAAGTTGCGTTTTGTTTGTTTCATTCATTACGGAATACTTTAACGCAGCGTTTACGCACGATGTCTTARTACGTAAAAGAAAGGCATAGTTTACTGATCTTTTTGGAATTAGAATACGGTAGAATTTGACTTTGAGAGTGCGTACTTTTACAGTGCGGGAATAATGCATGTGTTGCGTTTTTTGCTACATATCTATTTCTMATTATGGGACCATCTACGCAAGCTATAATGGGCTTGCGTAAAATGTTTTTGAGAGAAAAGATAAACTACATATGGTTGTACTGTTATGAAGCGAAATTATCGTCCGAAGTGTGTTTGTCTGTGTCAAGGTAACGCATCTTTCCTCAGCTTATTTCTCCTTAAATTTAACTTTTACGCAGTTTAGCCTGTGTACATCCGTTTCTATAACCCCTCCAAAAAAATCGGGGATTTTTTTGGAGGGGTGAGAAACGGATGTACACAGGCTACGCGTTTTACGCACGCTTTTAAGCTTACGTTTTTCATCACATCAGGTGCCAAAGAAATGATGCGRTTCGACTCTGTGATGCCATCGAGCAGTGATGACGTCATAAATGCCATCGTTACAGCATTAACAGTGCAAGTACCCAACTTGCGTTACGTAGTAGGCCTCGATGCCAAGGCTTTTCGGATTCTCTCCATGCTCCCATCATCATGGATGGACTGGGCTCTATCTTTTGTGATCAAGCCAATGAAACCCAATGTACAATAGTGTCTAATGTTGGGCRCAAAAGGCATCCTCGGGATTAGCCCATAATCAGGTCAGAGGATTCTATTCCACAGGAAGTCCGTCAAAGCGCAAGYTTGGAGGTCACGTGGTTATATATGCGCATGCAAAATTATATGAAACAGTACGCGGTTCTGTGGTTCAAATTGAATTTATTTTGATAATGAGTGAAATGGTTAAGTTTTTCCATTATAAATTTTTCTGCGTTGTTTTTGCAGAATTGGAAAAGAATTTTTAGACATTAAGTACTAATATTTGTATAAAAAGTGGTCAGATATGTCTTTTACGAGGAATATTTTGAAATAGTAGATAAATAAGTGTTTTATTTCCTACCTTTAATATCCGCACTGTCAGTTACTTGACAGATTTTGAAAGCGGCTTCGTCAGTTATATCGCTACGAGAAATCACATCTTACTGAATTGTGGTTAATGGAAATGAATATTTTAGTGGAATCCATAATTTTTTCATCCACTTTAATTTTTTTAACGATGTTTACTCGCATAGGAGGTTATGAAATAACGTTAAAAAGTATAGGAAATAGGGTTTTTTAAGTTAAAAAAAAACGTTTTGAAAATAAAATGATACACATTATGGATATAAAAAAGACTAGTYTTTAGCTGATTATCATAGTAGTTCCAGCTCTGCTTCGTTCAGCCAACGACACCGACTGGTTGTATATTATTTTCAAAATGGTTCATTTTCACGGATTTGTTTTTTGCTGCAAATCAGCTTATAATTATTGTTCACATTAGATCATCTACTTAGCAAACCAATAATCTTTCATATGATACTCCGAWTCAACAATAATGGTTCGTATCCTACTTATCCTCAACAATAATCAGTTTCGTATACTCTAGCTCAATCGGTAACGTTTCATATCATACACAGCATCAATCACTAATGACCCAGTCCAATAATATTTCATATCAGTACTCGCTGCATCAACAGTAATGGTTCGTATCCTACCTAGTAGGATCCTACTCTGTATCCTACCTATCCTCTACAATTATATTTCTACCTTAATCCGTAACGTTTCACAACATATATAACCAATAATGACACAATCCGATAATACTTCATATAATAGTCAGCCTCACCAATAATAYTTCATRTCRTACTCAGCCCCACCAATAATATTTCATATCATACTCGGTCGCATCCAATAATGTTTCGTATCACACTCTACCTTTTTCAATAACATGTCATATGACAGGCTCAGCCTCGGCAAATAGTTTGTTTAAAAGCTTCAATCAAAGGTATATGACTAGTACGATAAATATATATTTTTATACCACATTGATTAAAATCCGTATGTTAGGTTTGATCTAGGATAATCCGTTCACAGATCTTGAATCAAGTTAGTGTACGCGCTGTGGTTCTTCAAGATAACATCCCAGTGATTTCCGGCATGGTTTTTAAAGCAGGCTGTCCGCTTTCTTTAGAGAGGAATGAAAGATGAAAGTCCTTTGATTTGTTAATCTTCAACAAATGGATAAAGCTCTTTCCGCTTCTACTTGGATTACTATTTATTTGTAGTACTACTTCCAAGTGTCTTCCCCATGCTTTTTGATCAAATCAAGATAACATCCCAGTGATTTCCGGCATGGTTTTTAAAGCAGGCTGTCCGCTTTCTTTAGAGAGGAATGAAAGATGAAAGTCCTTTGATTTGTTAATCTTCAACAAATGGATAAAGCTCTTTCCGCTTCTACTTGGATTACTATTTATTTGTAGTACTACTTCCAAGTGTCTTCYCTGTCAGTGCAGCGCCGCAACTATCAATGACCGAACATCTGCCCAAACACTCTAATACTTAAAATCTGACAGGCAAATGAGAAAAAAGAAATCAGACTAGTCTTTTAGAATAATATATACGGTTAACAACATTTCCTTGGCTGTTAGCATACGTAATTTTCTTTGACGCGCGTCGGTCTGTCTCGGACTACAGCACCTGAGTAAAGTTATGAAATCCCATAGCTTTTGAGCTTAAAGCTGCGATCTCTCTCATCTGTTGTGTACATTTGACTATAATTTTTCTAGTTGTTTTATATTTAGTAGTTTTTCAATATATTAAGAAGYATTCAACTTTTATTTTCCTTTCAATGTTGTCCGGAATCAATTGACAAAACACGTTGATGTCCAAAGAACACTATATAAACATCAGAAAGTTCGCCGTCTCATTTTTTTTTCTAACTTCTGTTAAGCGATAATCGAGCCCGGTGATTAAAKAACCTTKAAAATCTATAATTGCTGTGACGTGSAAATTCTAAAGCCACAGAGAAATCATTGTTTAACGCAGAGATAACTGTTTAATTGTCAGATATGGAGAACAATAGACMCYGCTCGATTGCTCGGTAAACTGTGAATGATTTCCCATTGTGGGGGCGTTCTCTTTCCGTTTAGACAATGTCCCGATCCATGTGTTTTCTTATTAGATTAACTCGATGGCGGTGCGCAAATATTTGAACACAAAAATGTACGACTAGAATTGCTTTATTCAGATCAGATTTGAATTAGACATGAAGGAGTTTTAGGATCGAGCTATATCCACACGGTACACTTTGTTGTTGTATCAGTGGGATCAAAGTCGATTTATTCGGTGATGGTGGTCAAGAGAAGACTTGCTCAAGCCCAACATCACGCCCCGCCGCTAGCACTCTTGATTTGTCATCTCGTTTTACTAATCAGCGCTCATCGYACTTGCTGATTGGCTGGCCAGTGACCTGTGTGACTCCGTGTCAGTCTATTCCTGTTGTACTCACGTTGGAGCCCACTTGAAGCGAGCCGTGTTCAACAGTGTTGACTCTAGCGTCGAACAATGCAGTCTTCACAGAACAGTGTAGGAGTTTTTAGAGTATTCAAGCCAACAATTCTGTTTCAAGCGCCTCCSCTACCGTCAATACAACAGCTTTTACTGAAGAATGAGTTTACTGGAAGTCACGGAGGTTTGTGGAATCAGAGTTTGGGACCTCTGAGTTACACAGTAGCACCACCTCCTTCGACCAACCATGTGCCTTCGCGTCTGCGCTCAGAAAGTCCATATGCGCCTTTATTCGGTCACCATACTACGAATTACGCCCCACCTGTGCAGTTAAGTCCATACCAAACGAATTCCAGCGCACAGATTGAAAGGGAAARCAATGATAAACATAGCACAAGTAAAATCGACGCAGCAACAACAACAGGACCGTCTATTAACTGTAAATCTCGTAAGAAGAAGTACCCTTGTCCTTTGTGTGAAGTGCGGTGTAGTAACAATGGACAACTACAAGGACACTTGCGCATTCATACGGGTGAAAAACCATTYCAATGCAATCACGAAGGCTGCGATAGACGATTTGCGCGAAATGAAGAATTGACGAGACACAAACGAATCCATACCGGATTTCGTCCGCATAAATGTGAAACTTGCCAAAAGGCATTTGGACGCAAAGATCATTTAAACAAGCATCAAAAAACGCATCTTCAAGACGCGGAAAAGAAGGTTTTTATATGTGCTTTCAGGGGGTGTAAGCAGAGATATAGTCGTTCGGACGCGTTAACTAGRCATCAATGTTCTGCYCATTCGATACCCAAGCCGGCGTCTTGTCGATCTAGATGTGTTGCTGTTAAGACAGAAAAGAAAGACCGCTGAATACAGCGAGTAGGGTTCAGTGTTATGSCTGTACGCTTGTTTTGTCGTGTAATTCAGCAGGTCACACGCACGAATGGGGCGTGAGATGTTTGTACTATTACGCCAAATAGTCTTTAAGCTTCTGAACTATTTTTATAACTCGATGACCTTAATTTTTTGTAACAAGCAAATCACTAGTTGGTCACTTTGGCCGACGATGAATGAACAACCGAATGAGACCATCGTGCCAAGAGGTATGCACCGTTCATCATCGAGATAGCTRAACAATGATTCACGAAGGACACTCTGTTGTAAAAAGGAAATCCGTTTCGAAAACCATTGACAAAACACTCGAAGATGTATCACAGGAACTCAACCACGTGAAATCAGATCGGATTCAAACAATTTCTGTTCCGTCTCGCAGTTGTTGACAATTTTGAAAATTGCTCGGGGCGCTCACGTAATGGCTAATTTTTACATTTACTGAACAATGTTGTGAATTGTCAAGCAATCATAGGTAATTAAAACACATTTTCAAGTCAATAGCCATGTTGACATTACTAAAGCTAATACAGTGGCAGTGTCGAGGCAAATCCTGGTGGATTTTACCAATTGGCGGAAAGATTCAGGAAATACTGCTGAAAGGGATTCCWTGTCTTCCTAAAAGATTATCAAAGCATATTACGATCACTTCAATACATTACGCGAGGGAAAATCTCGCACRTTATGACTGCTCTGACTATGTCAACATTTGACTTACTCTTTAGGACACGACTGTAACTAATGGCTTTCAGCGCATAGTCACGTGACTATGTTGGCGTTTAGGAATGAGAGAGAATGTCAAAATACATTTGTCATTAGAGACACTGACAARAATACCCAATTCAWTACATTTCCAGAGAACAATAGTTTCAGAGCAACATTGCTGCTAGTTCCGGTGAAAAAAATGACGTCAAAAACGAGGAATTCAGTATTAACTCGTGAAAGACGCAATCACAAGTTCACGCTCTTATCAAATTGTTTCCTTCTGTGTATTTTAAGCATTTCATATTTATGGTTAAATTTTGTTTCACGGGTTTAATTGGTACTCCAAGCGCGCTTGAGATCCGGGGGGGAAAATCACTAAAAAGTTACTCAAAAATGGGCGGCAATGTTGGCGGTTTACAAAGACTGACCAGTCCGGCTCGATATTTGAAAATAACTGTCTACCAACTAAAATACTTGGTAGTAGTTCTAGTTATCAAACTCATCGTCTCTTTATCAGTCGTGGAAAATCACCCAAAAATGTGCGGTCAGTTTAGTACATTGTCACTAGTTGCATCGTTTTATAAAAGTATGTTACCTAATTGCGWTACGTTGAGCTAGCGTGGCATCGCGAGTTCTAGTCTGTGATCATGTTAGTGTAGTGTGGGGAAAAAGGAAACTAATTGCTTGGTAACTTTTCCCCTACTTTCAGCTCACTTCGCTTTTCACCAACTGAGCTTTCAGCTGCATTCATACAATACAATGCTCGAACGTGTTAAGGTTTTATTGATGGTCACAAATCATTTACACAGATTGTGAATATTATAATGCACTTTTACAAAGGAGCAGGAGTGGTTTTCTATTTCTTTCAATTTTCACAATTTGTATGAAGAGTAAACTAGACTCGAGTCGTTAAATTTGTCATCTCCATGTTCGCTCTTAGATATCAAGAACTCTTAACAGAAAGAAATGAAGATAAAATAAATGTCAAATTTTCAACATTAACCTCAGTCGTCAGTTTTTGACTTCTTTTTCTTCTTTTTCTTTGGTTCTTCTTCGGCATCACTTTCGGTCTCGACCTTCTTTTTCTTCTTCTTCTTCTTCTTCGCCGATGGTTCTTCTACCTCCTCCTCTACCACTTCAGACTTTCTTTTTTTCCTCTTCTTTGGTGTTTCGTCAGATACTTGCACATCCTTTTCTTCTTGTTCTTTGTTTTCCCCTTCATCTTCTTCAGAATGGCTCTTCTTTTTCTTCTTTTTCGGCGTTTCTACTAGTGATTCGTCGTGGCCATTTTCAACTGCATTGCCATTTTCGTCAGTCGAAATCTTCTCTTTCTTTTTGTCTTTCTTCTTTTTCTTCTTCTTCTTYTCTGAAGACGATTCGCTTTCCTGTTCTTTGTTGAATTCTTCAATGGCCTCTTTCATGACATCGATATTCTTTAACGGAGCTTCGCCGGTTTCGTAAAACTTTAGACGATCCTCAACTTGATCGTGGAGTTTTGCGCCGAATACTGATGTCGGAGTTTCTGAAAAAAGAATCATTTCACTTTCTGTTAGTCTTGTTCAACACTTACATTTAWCTATCTTATAAAATCATTATTTATTTAAACGAGTCTATATTTTTCGATTTTATTTGGCAGCTTRTGTAGTTGTTTGAACGAAAGTGGTTGACATTACATGATTGACAACACTTAATAAACGGTATGTTAATTAACAACACTTGATTGACAGTAGTTAGCTGTGAGGAGGAAAGCAGCTGAATGACATGATTGACATGTGTCATTAACTGGTAGAACTAGAGTATTAAAAGTACCTGAAAAGCAGTCAATTCGTGAAGCAATAGAACACTTGTTTGCCAAGTATCTAGAGATACGACCCTTGTTCTTCTTGTTAGCTCGGCCWATGAATGACGAATGAAAGATAAGACCATACTTTGGTGTGTTCCCTTTTTTCTTGAGAGCTCTGTAAAAAGAGAAAAAAAATAGAAGTTAACCACCATTCTGTATTGATTTTATGGTTCAAAATTTATAGGAYTATTCCTTCAGAAGATCCAAATGTATGCTGTATTTTAGTTTTAAATTGATTGTATAAAATGGAATCTTATAACTAAAACTAAGCATGCATCCCACTGTATYGCACTCGCAATGTTACTYGCACTCATATTTCACWCRCATGCACATGTYATTCAWGATGACAGCCATCTTGGAATTAATATGGTCAATTTTATAAAAGTCAAGATAACGACATCTTGTCTACCTGAACAAAGCTTTCTCTGCCCCAAGTATCTGGACAGTTGAAGCTGGGTATTTAGCAAGGTTAGTAAGACTTCCAGCATGAGAGATAAGTCTAGCACCAACCTAAAACATAACAAGACCATTTGTCAGTACCTAAGTAGTATTTAAAGCAATGTAAAGAAATTTGTTGTCTTCAGACAAATTCTCACTCTTCCAGTTTTGATGATAAAAAGATGTTGAACCAACCTAGCTAGTTATGAAACACTCACAAAAATATCTCAATGAAGATTAGCAAATGTAGTTGAATTCTTTTTTTACATTATTAAGAAGTCTGTGTACAAAAAAAACTCTACAAAATCTCAATAATAATAACATCAATCAAACTGAAGTATGTGAATGTTTGGTGCTTTTAAACCGAAAACTGAACAATTTCAGCACATAACCACACAGCAGTAACAATAAACATCTCCTGTCTTACCARYTCCCCAATCAGTGTAGARAGGTTRGGTGCAACRCTGTTCATCTTGGAKATTAGGTACTGATGGAGTCCCTTCCTGTAGTCTGCCAAGCCAATTACCTTCCCAGCAAATGCTTCAATATTGATTAAGTCCAAAGGAGAAATGTCCATMCCTGTATGCAACAAGACAAAGAGAAAACTAGCATGAGTTGCAAGTTTTCTAATGAAATGCTTGAGATGAAGAGATAAAAATAATAATTTTTATGAACAAGTGAATTAAGAACCAGAATAAAAYTTAAAATAATATTGAAAAACTTAAAATAATTGCCAAGTAAAATRAGAAAACCTTCATCCTGAATAAGGAAAAGTGTTCCAAAATAAAAGCTAGAAAAATATATTTGAAACCTGCATTGTGGAAATAGTTAATGTAAGATCAAGTGTAGGAATTTTTTGGTATAGTTGCCAAGGTAACAAAAACAATTCAAGTCTGTCAACACTAATTCTCACCCATTGAAGACTTAGATGCTTCGTAGATGGCYTTTGCTTTTCCTTCATCCATCACTATCTCCTCAAGAGCCTCAAGCTTGTCCTCTGTTAAATCTTTTCTAGATTTGATAAACTTGGCCACCTTTGCATACATGTAATTGTCACCAACAATTTTAACCAATTCTGGAAAATGGTATGAGTACCATTCCCTAAAAAATAAGACAATATTTGTTAGACATCTGAATAGAAATTGTGACTAAAATAATAATCCTTTTTTTAAACACTGTGTGATTACCTTTGGTGTTTATTTTCTATAATATTGCTGTTTTTTTTATAATGCCTCAGCAGCCAAGTTTGAGTTTCGTTGACAAGAGATTTCTCATTAATATAATTATTATATTGCTTGAACCATCAACTTGGCTGTTAATCATTTGCCTTTTTGAATCTCAAGTAATCAAGTAAAAACCAGCAATAAATCATTTTAGGTTGTTTTCATGATTGATAGCAGCAGAGATAATAAAACTTTCAAAACTTTTAAAAAGTTAATTGTATTTTTGAAAGTTTTATTGTCATGATTGACTTGAGCTTCTAAAAACCATTGATTCAGTTTAAGGCAATATTTTGTTATGAAGATTAATACGATTAGAACTATTTACCTAATTCTCATGGAGAATGTGTTGATATCTTTATCCAGTTGATCTAAAAGAGCAATAGATTGGATAATCATRTTATCGACCCTGTGAATATTGAACTTGACTTTAGCCCTGGAATAGCTATGACCCAAGCCAAGCTGTGCCTTTGCTGCCATCTGCCCTGTAAGWCCCTTGATCATCTTTTCAAAATGCAAGCGTATGCCACGGAGGACTTCAGAAACAAGACTTCCAGAGTCACAGGAAATATTGACAGCTTCTTGGATAGAAGCACTGAGTTTGGTATCCATGATACCAAGTGAAACTTTGGACTTCTTTTTGCCTGTGGGAACATTTGCTTCTAGGAATGCCTTTAGATCATCATGTACAACACCTGAAACAGGAATGACTAGTTAGTTATGTTTTATTGAAATGCTTTATCCAGTTTGCTGTCTTTTTTACACCACTTGATRARTTTTCAATCTCAGATCAAAACTTTTTATATGTGTCAACAACCAATGTCTTCAGAATAGCTGCATATTTTAATATGCCACAAATACATGAAGAGTTTTGAAAGAAAATCGAAAGAACAAGCAAATGAACAGCAAGCAGGAGAAGAATCAAAGACCAATAGTGATGAAACAGCAACAAGCACTGCCAAAGTCAAGAGCACAAACTGGACAATCGCACAAGGTAATGCTTGGTCGAAACACAAACGCACTGATCACAAAATACGTGTGCTAGTAAATAAAATATGGCGATGTGCAGATCAACTGTCTTTGTTTACATGTACACATGCATATATAGCAGCATCAAACTTAAAATCAACTCTTTGAGGAGATAAAGGGCACAATTTCAATACAAACTCAAAACGAGATCAACCAGAAAGAGCATATGATAACAAGAAGTGTTGTTTTTTAGCATTTTGAGTTTTCCACGTGGTTCACTAATCGTGAACAAAACAAATTGATCACAACACTGCAACACTACTTTACCAAACCAACACTGTTCAGCTTACCTTCAGATAYACAGTTGATGTTATCCAAAGCATTTGTGCCTGATTTAAACGGTGAAAAGGCCACAAGTTTAACAAGTTTTCCAAACCGTGATAGATCGAGAACGGAATCTTGAACCTCKGGAAGAAGGGCGCCCACTTCTTCTTGAGCAATAACTTTGAAGATCGCATACCCAGAGGCATGTTCATATAGCACGAACAACACCTAATGATATAAGAATATATTTACATGGTAATTTTATGTGGATCTGATGGGAAAACGCTAAAATATGAGATCAAATGAGGAGATATTTCGACTACCAACCATTTTGGATTCCAAGCCTCGTGCRAGATGTTGCGTCACGTGATAAATTACACAGGAAACCCAGAAATTGAAGGAAAAAACACGCTTTTGAATCGAGATATATGGAGAGTTTCGTAACAGATTTTCGTAAGAGAACAGCTTTTTATGGAGAAATAGTGTACAAAAGGAACCGAAAAGGGAAGAGATTGGTCCATGTGACATGATTTATTCAGTGGGTCAAAAAAGGCCTAAAGATTAATATTGTTAATATATCCATTATACACTTTTCCAGTCTATTCCTGAGTCTTATATCCAGGTATGTTATGTCCAGTTCTGCTGACATGCTAGGAAAGCATTCCTCCTTTATAACTGTTCTTGCTCTTGAGTCCAAAATGGCAGTTGTTCCTATTTTTTTTCTTTTTTGGGGAGGAATTGGGGTGATTTTTTTTGATATGGTAATTGCCACTATATTGTGTGAGCMCATTCATTGCAAGACAATGAAAGTGTACATAATTCTGAAATTTTTGTGGGGTGCAAGGTATTTACAAAAAATGTAAATAAATCAAGAATGACCTGCACACATTAATATATCAGTGTCCATTTTATTTTAAATTATAATAAATAGTGGCTTACAGTATAATTATTTCACAAATCAAATTTYAAAGGCTTCCTGTTTATAAAATTCTTAGATATATTTATAAATAATCATTTCAATATCACTTATTAACTGTAGTTATCAAAAGCATCCAAACATATTGAAACTTGAATGCTGTCATTCTGGTATATATAATTTACTTTTATTGACTTTAAAAAGGATGTGAATTTAACCATAATAACCTTCCAATCAATCTGGCCAATTTTCCAGGAATTAAAAAACAATCTTGTTTTTTTTTGCAGGCAAAAAGTGTTACTGTATTCCTATCAGTTCAGTRATTGGAGGTGCATGAACCATAAGCTCTTCATATTGATTGAAGAACATCAGCAGCCTGTTTTTATAAGTATCCTCGTTGTATGGAAATCCATGGCTTTTTAAGTAGCTTCTTACAATTGGYTTCACCTTCAGACACATGTTGTCAGATAGGCGTGGAAACAGGTGRTGCTCRATATGGCAACTRGTGATGCTCACACCAAAATTGTAGTCCAGCAATGGATTTGAAGGCAGGTTCAATACAGAGTGTGCCATTTGCTGAAGTCTATTGTCAGGTTTCTTCTTTGGGTCATACATTGGAAGRCCAATGTGTTGAAATATGTTGACATGGATGTAAGGAATAGCAAATACAGATCTTACAAAAAAAATGCACAGCAAGGAAGCCTTCAGTGAGAGACCTGAGACATGAAGAAAGAGATACAACTGGAAGAGATAGCCTAACGATACCAATACAAACATACGGATCATAGCGAACGGCTTTCCATTAAGCATGTTTACAGCAACAAATGGATATGACATRTGTAGGAAAATAGGTGCAAAGAACAAGTARGAGTAGCGATCAAGCTGAGGAACTTTCCATGAACTAGAATCTCCCAGACCAATCACGTTTGTGTATGGGTGATGATACTGAATGTGTGATTCGTAGCTTCCAGCTTCAGTGAAACCACCCCAAAACTCAATAACAAAGATGCTGACAATYTTGTTCAAGAACTTGGAAGATCCYRTAAAGCTATTRTGCACTGCAGCATGGGCCACTTTGACTGTGAGAACAGAGTGAATGTAGGCYAGGAGCAGGAATCCAAGAATAAAGAGAAGAGTGCTCCCTTGTCCAATTAACTTGTAGCCAACAGGAACAAAGGCAAGAGCTACAACAGCGATGGAGATGTCAAACCCATAAAGTTCCCACCATGAGCTTTGTTGAATTTCTTTCCTCACTAAGGAAGACAGATGAGAATGAGAAGGTATTTTATATCCATCAAGTGTGTTTTTGCTTGAGTCATTCCCTTCTCTTTGCTCCTCATTTTTTTCTGTTCTTCTGGTAAGGTCTTGTTCCATGATGAAGGATCCTTTACTTGTGTCAAGTCTGTTAGGAAAAAAACAAGTAAATAATAGGTGCACCATTTAAAGGGACACTGTCAATGGATGACATGCACAGTAACAGTCTCGCCTCTAACGGACTTTGAAAGTATTACCTTCGAGGTAAATCATTTTGTAGTGCTTTTGACACACTTTGGAATATTCTAGATCTGTTTATGTTTACGAGCTGATTTATGTCGYGCCAACTTGGATTCATAAACTTGAAAACATTAGYCTAATGTTTTCAAGTTTACTCGCGCATGTGTGCCATTGASAGTGTCCCTTTAATATAGATATTTAACAATTTCTTGAAAAAAAGCAGCTGACCTTTTGTAAGAAGAAAGGAAACTCTTTGCAAATGCAAGAATACAAACAAACGAAAATACAATGATAATAATATCATTAAGTATGAACTGGAATATTCATGATGTTGTATGCTTTGCATGATGGAAAGCATTTTAATTGTTGAATAAATCAGTAACTAAATTCTTTTGAAAATGGCAGTACAATGGAGTAATTGTTCATTAAAGAAGATCTTTTGATTTTTTGGAGAAATCTGAAAAAATATTGTACAAAATATTATAACATTATTATAACATCCAAAAATTCAGACTAAAGAGGAAAAACGTTTTTTTTTTTTCAATGTTTATTCTAAAAACCAGACATGTCCAGTTGCCACCTGCACAAGTACTAGTGCTGAAGTAATGAAAATTTCAGCACTTTTTATTTGATTTGCATATTATGTTACGAGTGAATATAACAATCAAGGATTTTGACAACCCTTGGAATGTATACAAGTTAAAATTTCTTATAACAGGAATGTAAAATGATGAAAATGAGAATGCAAAAAATATTCAGTTTGAATTCTAGCGAAAGAGGGAAAAGAACACTGTGGATTTTGCAATTAGAGCCTGAAATAACCCAATGCTTTAGGCTTTATAGATGTCAATGTCACAATAGATAATTAAAATAACACTGAAGAGCTTAGCAGCTTAGCTTAGCGAGTATAAAATGGGATCCTCGACAATAACGTAATACATTATTATTATAAAGCGGTCAAAAATACCAGAATTTCAAAGCAATACTACTGAGAATGAGAAAACTGAAAATATATGCACTATCTACGACTGTTTGATAAYATAAGCTTAAAACTTTATGGTGAATTTCAAACACGAAAGCCATCTGATTTCATTGTGATTTAAGATATCATGGAGGTAAATTGATGTGAAAATTCAACTGCAGCGAAGCAACGAATGCACGTAAATTATATGCACTTTGAATTTCAATAAAACTAGGTGAAATAGCCAAATTCTTGCTAAAAAAACTTACCATATAATCTCGGTACCCACCATARCAGTTTATCTGTTTATTTACCTCTGTGGGAGGAGCTAGCTCGCTAGATCTAGAGTCTGACAGACGTGGGAGCACTGGGTCCGAATACGAAAATTGTACGAAAACAGSCCGACAACTTTCCGRTACTCGGTTCCTCGCAAATTCATAAACGGAGTAAATTCTCTCTTTAGAATAAAATTACAATAAAACTAAATGATAAAAACTGATGTCAATATCGTTAATTAGATTTTTYACGATAGATCAAGGGAGTCAGATGCGTAAAAAAACAATGCTTCAAAAAATTCTCAGTTATGTTACTATGGTAACAGTATCGTCTTAGAGTAAAGTTCAAGAAATCGTACCGTAAGAAAAACGATACTTTTTCGTTTTAGTAACCGCGTGTAGGAATGGAAAATGGTGAAATTAAAACTTGCCTTAGTGAACAAGATGTCAGTTTTTTTGTGGTAGTGCTGGTGGGGCAACTTGGCGCTCCGGGAGTGTTTTTAATCGATCAAAAGCGCGCGTGCTGGCTTACTAAATGATTCACATATAACTTTGCTGTATTTACTTGAATATAGTACAAAAACTGAAAATATTATCACCAAATACASAAACAAACAAGTGGACAAGCTATCCTAATTGCTAATTAAACCTCAAAAGTTTAAACAGTTTTTATGCAGCTTTTGCCTTTGTCAAACTGTACTATGTGAATACAAGTAGCGGTAATGAACAATCATTCMATCTCTTTCGTCATTATTTTTTGTGTGATTCCTTCTGATACTATCATTTTTCTCATTAACGTCTTTAAACGATCATGTCTTTCGGTGACCTTGAATGGATAATCTTTTTCTGTGGGGTCTRGGTAAATATAATTATACTTAAATGCTCATGTCAAAACGATTTTAAACAGACATTAAGCGCTATTTAGAGGGTCTCGTGTTCTAAGTATATTTGCGCTCTTGTATCTTGACATTGTTTTTTTTAGTAAAACAACTAAAGAGGCACAGGTATTTCTCACATATAAGTTGTCTGGACATGATGGAAAATGTTTCTTGCGGCGTTTATCCATGTGTGTTGCGTTTTCTGCAAATTCCCYAGGGATCACGTTTATTAGCATTTTACAAATACAAGTTAATCCTGGACGAACATTAAAACCATACCGGACGCTTTGTGTATATTGTAAGCTTACGATGACTCATTCAAGGCCAGTCATTGGTCATTTACCGCGCGGCCATTGTATTTCTGCCAATTAATGTTTACCCAAGCCGAATGAAAAAAGATCAATTTCGATGAAGTTGTTAGACAAAAGTACCTGCTCAACGATCCATTGTGTACCTTGACGACCGGAGTGTTAGTAAACCAGATAGTGTCAAATAACACACAAGTTGTAGAGGCCGAAGGACGTGAATCAAAGACGCGAGGATGGGTTTCACTGAGCTAACGCATCCCCATGTGGCTAGCAATCTGCCAGGGTAAGTAAAAACAATTCTAGACYTCTCTTTAGGAATTATTTCATTATATTCTATATTTATAWAGTTGRATTGACTCGATCTTCGGACACGCGGAGTCAGTGCGCGTTGCCTCGCCATGCGGCTGGTAAAGTTAAGGCTCGGATGTGATGGTATAGGAAACACTRCCATTTCAATGTTATCTTTGTACACGATGAAATGGTTTATCAAAATCAAATGAAAGAAAGCAAAACCAAATCGTGATCTGWTTTACGCGTTTTAACAGGATTCAATTCTGTACAATTGCATGTATGGTCATGAATTACAGGAGTAAAAAAAACTACATTTTGATTGCTATTTTAAAATGTCTCCGTTATATATTTTGGGAGGTTGAAATTGATGTTTTCAGCCCATCCGCGCGGCATCGCATTTCCAAAAAATTCAGTGGCTCAAATTTATTTATTTTATGTCATGTTTTCCCCTTTTTTTTGATATCCTCATACTAGATATCGCGGATATTGTCCTCAACTCAAGTACGAATGTGGACATACCTATGGGATAGCAACAGACAAGCTGACAACGGTATAATTAGTATTTGCAATTTAGATTTCKTTTTTGTGAATGTCTGAAAGAACTTAATATCCGGGCTTCATACCAATTCGATTATGACTAGTGATAATTTCAGGAAATTTTGTTTGATAAGTGCKCTCCGTTGTCCCTCGATAATTCATGATTTCACTCTGATGCTATTTTTCAAACAACGAATATTTGAACAAAATTTGAAATGAAAGATAGATATAATTCATACAAATGGCAAAAATCTAAAAAGCTAGTCATAAGGACTATTTTATTATGGATTGCTCATAAAAAGCTTTCACATTAAAAAGTTCAAAAAGGGATTCCAAATGAAAAAAGACTTGAATTTTACGCGCTTCCTCTGCTCGCAGAATAGTCATTGAGTTTTGCAGTTTCATATGAAGCCCGAGTAAACGAAAGATTTGACAATCAATATGGTCACTAACAATTMAATAATTGTTTCATTCAGCGCCATACACGCAACGAAAAGCTCCGAACTATCAAACTCGACGACCCAAAACTAAGAGAACCATTCCTGCCACAGCCAAATGGCGATAACAAATTGACTGCTAACATGGTGCCCGGGTATACAGGTACATTATGAACACATTGTATTAAAAAAGCAATTTAAATAAAAAACAGTTAATTTATAACTTTTCATTGTTTCTTAAACAAAAGCGTTAAAACTCATTTTGACAATTAACAACTTRGACAATTGTTTCAATATTTTTAAATCAAATTTGCTGTTTGCAAACCCAGTTTTCAAATAGCAACGCGATGTTCATGGCTTGACACTGTTTCTAAAAACAAAAAGTTAAAGTGAATTTTGAGTGTATTAACAGCTCGAAGAAACAACTCAGTTTAAWTTAATCAAATTGGTMATACTTTCAATTTTKGATTTTCRACTAAAAAGCGATACTATCTTGTCCTCCCAAATGGATGCCATGCTGAAGATACACTTTTGAGCGGCGGTTCAGACCTGTCAGTGAACATGCTAAAGAAGATTTGATCTCCTAATCTCTCTCGAAAAAGACGCCACAAGTCACTGTCCAATTTTAATAAGTCTCAGTCAAACGATACGACATATTGGAATTATAGGAAGCCCTGGTAAAACGAGAAAAGGCTAAAAAAACATCTGTAAAAAATAAGTTCAAATTATACGCTTATTTGATAATAGTATTTTATTTATACGCAGTTTGTTTAATCAACCATGAATAATTTTAAACTTCTTTCCAAGCTTTCGACCAACAAAGATCTTTTAAAATAGTATTTTAGTTGGTGGTTAGCGACGGAAGCGCGCGCTTTGAACAACTTGAATCGGCCATCATTGTCTGCTTATGAAAAGTACTTAAAAAGATATGAAGAAAATCAGTCCATTGCGATGAGCAGAACAGAACAGAACAAAGACTTCATTTTTACCTTAAATTCCCAAAAGCCATGAGACTACGGTGAGAATAAACCCAAAAGGGCGAAACTGAATTCCCAGGACTAGGTTTAAGTCGTGTGTAATAACTTTTAAACTGTMATTATTAGTTCAGTCTAATGCGTATTGGTTGTGTCCAAAGGTTACGTTCCCAGCGTGCGATTTTTATATGGTTCTCGCTACAAAGAAGCCACGGAACAAGCTGTTAGCAACTTCAACATGAAAGACGGCAAATACAGAAGCGAAAGTGAYGAACTGAAGAAAACGGTTTACTCGACTCCAACGTTGAAAACTCGCGCTGATTTCCAAGACCCTACCATGTATCCAGACCTTAAACCAAGATATTCCAAGAACTACTTTCCAAGTTAGTRTGATTCATAGAATTTCTTGTAGCGCCATTTTATGTGTGTTAGTATTGCCAATATAAATGTGATTATTTACGAACTACGTCGACCAATAAGGTGATGTTGAATTACTAAATATTTAACCGTCTAGCCTGTCGCGCAATGATGAAAATGATACTTTGCGTTTTACACGCGTGCGCGCAATGAAAGAATTTGCAAATTCGGCAAATTACGCGCATGTTACTTGTTGGAATATAACTGTAATCAAAATGTTCCGCAATGACACAACGCAAGCATAATGCATGGTTACGCAACCATTTAACAAGTAGAAAACTGCAAAATTTGTTGCAAAAAGCTTATTTATCATCTCCACTTGATGCAACAGGTGTCCTTGACTTGCCAAAGCATCTACGATTATGTTGAGTGACAATTTTGAAAACGTCAGACGTTTTTATTTCTTGAAAATATAACATTTTTGTTTCTGGTACCTTATATGCATTTTCAGTTTTGTTGGTACTTCTAACCTTACCTCTCTTTCCTCTCATTCTTCGGTTGGTTTTCGCATGATGTCACAGCAGCCATGTTGATGTACATCTAACCACTAGATTTCATTATGTATACCAACACTGCGACTGCTAAAGGACATAAATAAGGCTTTTGCATAAGTGAAACGGTCACATGGTACTAAATCCCGTCATACTGGATGGCAAAATACCCACTGGGATGTTCCGATAAAGAAAAGTCAAGATTGACAGGCTGCGTTTCTTTTTGTTTTTGAGGTTGTTTACATTCTTTTGTCATCCAGCATGGCGGATTTAGTATTATGTGTCCGTTTCATGAAAAAAGGCATATCTACTAATTCGGGCTGAGTGACGGAGAAAATACATACGTGAAACTATGTTGCTATAATCAGTCGACATACGAAGATTGCTTAAAGGGGYTGTCTTGTAGGTGAGCAGCGCGAGTTCTGCGAGCCACCATTGCCCGGCTACACCGGGTACGTACCACGCAGRCGCGAGCACGACCTTGGCACAAGATACGCCGTATGGACAAAGGGAGGTTTTACAGACTCGCTAACCATGAGGCATAAACAAGAAAATCTTGCAACACAAAGAATTGATGTGACAAGGTTGGTATCAGTGAATGCAAATTCTGAATACAGTTGACTTTCTTTGAACGACCACTCTCGTATAAGCGACCATCTCCCGTAAGCGACCACCTTTAAATTTCCCGTTATWATTGTTTCCCATATAAACTCTGTAAAAGAAACTCTCTCGTAAGCGACCATCTCTCGTCAGCGACCATTTTTCCTGATCCCGAGGTGGTCGCTTACGAGAGTGTTGACTGTAAGTGTGTATTTAGTATTCAATCTCGATCGCAGGGTCCTATTCCATACTGCGCATGCCTGACGTACATCCCCAACCCCACACCCCACGAGCATGATATATGATCTTCAGAACTGTTTTCAAATTAAAAGTGTTTTTATACTTTATTTTCTTAGAATCCCTGAGGCAACAGTTAAAGTGTCCAACATTGAACACGGCACACTTTACAAAACGTTTGGCATGAAACCTAAATACACAGGATACATTCCACGTAAGTATACCTGTATCTCCGTAGTAACGTGGTTCCAGAGACTTGGCTTCTATTCTCGTGCTTGTTATTTTACGGAAACGTTTTTAACGGCTCGACAAAAATAACACTGACAAGCCTTTGGAACTAGGGTAGTAATTTAGATTATATAATTCATGAATTTTAGAGTTAAAACTAACATTTTAGAATTGAATAATTAAATCAGTTGTATTGATATATTTTCACAGAACGACGCTTCAGATTTGGGAATACATATGGAGACACCACACGGTCGCTTCCAATCTGTTACGACAGCAACGGATATTCACAAGCAAAATACATCACTACTCCAGTAATGTAGTGTCTGCGCATACGCGAAGTGTGTGAAATTAGGAATTTTATAGTTACAAAGTCATACATTCAA